TGTGTGTGTGTGTGTGTGTGTGTGTGTGTGTGTGTGTGTGTGTGTGTGTGTGTGTGTGTGTGTGTGTGTGTGGTGGGTGGGTGGTGGTGTGTGTGTGTGTGTGTGTCGCGCGCGCGCGCGTCGTGTGTGTGTGTGTGTGTGTGTGTGTGTGTGTGTGTGTGTGTGTGTGTGTGTGTGTGTGTGTGTGTGTGTGTGTGTATCGTATGACGATTTCGTGCTCAAACTGTCCACACATGACGAGCGCGCTCGAACGCACGCGCTCGTCAGGCATTCACCGATGCCAACACACAGTCATACAGTCATACAGGCAAGCATATAAGCTCACACATATTAAATATACACGCGCAAGAGAGTACGTCCACACAATTGCGATATAAATGTAGTCTAGAAACTTGTTCTTGTCATATTATATTGATGAGGTGAGTCGTATTTCTATCCCCCCCAAGTATTAGCTCCGCGAGTATATAGAAACAAATTAGTATTTGTCATTATATATTATTGAGTAGTTTTCACAGAATATCGCATATGTTTTCTTCTGTTTGGAATTTATACGCAACACTTAAACGTAGCTATTAACTACTGTAGATGAAATAATAAATTGCAAGACCAGTGTTTTAACTATTTTTATGTTACCCATGACACACGACGGTTACCACGGAATATTCCACGGAAATTTCGTTAGTTCCTTGCTGGGACCTGCGAGCTAGGCATAAAGTCAATTAAAGGTCGTAAATAAATCATTGTGAGGCAGCACACCGGCATGCAGGGTCGGTATCAACGTGGTGCCACGTTTCACAAAGCTAGCGTTGTCTTCGTGCTACCATGCACTTACAGAGCAAATATCTGCATCGTTGGTGCGCGCGCATGAAGAGCTGCCTGCTCACAGCTATTGCAGGAGTTTATATGGTGGAGGTCAGGCAATCTGTCTCCCACGCCGTCTCGCGATTTCATGATAGCTGTTGCGTTTCCAAATTACAAGTTTGTGCGCACTCTCGCTTCTAAATTATTGAGTTTGCGCGCACTCTTCATTTTATGATAGTCTACCTGAAGCTGGAATGGGGTGTTTTCTTGTGCCCACATATGTTGTCCTGTATACATGCCACAGGTTTTTCCGCGACGTAGTGTAAACAGCACAGTGAAAGAACTATTCTGCGAGTTTGTGTTGTAGACATACGTCTGGACGATGTTCATGAGCGATTTCGCCACGTATACGTGCGTTTCCCCGTGGCAGAGACGCGTACGTCTGTTGTTGCTTGCTAGATATGCGCCTCTCTGTAAACTCCCACCGTGCTGTGGTTTTACACGTGAATCGCGTTCACTCTCCGCCATTTTGTGAATTCGCTCGGCAAATATGGCAGCGACGTCGTGAACAGAGCTTTGTGAAACGGGCCCCACGTGTTCGTACAGTTATACCGGTTTTATTTAGCAGAACTATAGGCCCAGTATTAGCTTTAATTGAGTCGAAGTCTTTCCCTCTATGAAAACGTGAAATAATTACGCAGGCATTGCGACAACTAAAATTCACCGCAAATTGTGAGGGCGTACTGAATCTCCGTTTGGTTATATGATTAGCGGCATCATTAACTATTGTTAATTGGTCGACGAAGTGTTAAATTGAATGACAACGATTATGAATTAATTAAAGGGGCTCACGGGTGAGTTCTCACGCTGCGACACACATACACATACACATAATACACAGACACAGACACACACACACGCACGCACGCACGCACGCACACACGCACACACACACACACACACACACATACCTGCTTGTTGAACCTGAACATTCGCAGCAGGTCTACAGCACAGAAGATGCTCGCCTGATGAAACTTTCGCGAAATGTTGAAGTATTTTTCCAGCTCCTTCTTCTTGAGGGTGTTAAGCACGCGCCCGTCGACAAGATTCATCCGGAAGAGGTCGCTGTACTGTCCCAGACCGACACTGGGCAGCCACACATCCGTCACCCAGACATCATCCATACCAGATATCTTCTGGTACCTACTGAAATATGTGTTGACGTGACGTGAGCACAGCATGTGTAGTCGTACGCTACGTATAGAGCTTGGCTCAGAACGTGCGGGCACACGACGTAGTCTCAAGGCGAACGTTCTCTTTTACAATGCGCATTTATACAACTAGAGTGTTCTGGATCTTGGTTAGCAATTCATCTCGATGATCGTACGTAATGCGATACAACTGAATAGTCGTTATTGTGCAATACCAGTGTAGCGGATGTTTCGCATCCTCGATTGCCAGTATGAGCTTCTTTTTATGCATTCTATTCGATATTCCTAGAAGCGTTTCTAGTTCGATGTCCGTCAGCCCCGCCATCACCTGCAACCACAGAAAGACGATTAAAATAAAAATGTTAATCCAGCTATCTATTCAACCGTCGATGCATTCATCTATCTATGCATTCATACATTTATCCATCCATCAATCAATCAATTCATCCATTCATCCATACATTTATTCATTCATCCATCCATTCATCCATCCATCCATCCATCCATCCATCCATCC